CCACTGGGGAGTCCATGAGCTTTTGGGGTAAAAAGAAAAAAAAAATGTAGGAAAGTTACATAATCTCTCTGAGTTCCATTTTATGCATCTTTAAAATGGCAATTATGATGATAATAATGCTATGCTGACAGATTTACTATGCACATCAAATTGAACATTATGTAAAAGCACATTGTAAAACATTATATAACTGTTAGTTAATAGTACGTAATAAACATTTCAGTAGGAGTTATAAACCTGTAAGGTATTGAGACGTAAGATGAAAAAAAGAATTATGTGAGACGATCTGCATAATGTTATTTATATAGAAGTTTTATTGTTTCCGAGACTTTTTAAAAAAACTGGCATTAAGATGTCCTGACATTATCATATCATGGGAGGCCAAAAACTTAAATGATAAATCTTAAAACAATAAATCTTCTCAAAGAAGGTTACCCTGATATATTCACATGAAATATGTATAGGAGCAGAAAGAAGCAATAAATAAGAATACTATCCATGTTAAGGTTTCAAAATATCTCCCCCTTTGGAAACTCTGAGGGATAAATGGAGTGTCTTCAACCATCCTTGATCCCATCACTTTAGCTTAAGTCAATTTAAGACATTTATTTAATGAGGTCACAACCAAATTAACTTGTTTGGGTCATGTAAAAAATAGCCATAAGCAATTTGATAATTTTATTTTTCTATGTACATTGGATAATGTACACAAATGATACACAAATATGGTCCACAATGACCAAATTTAACATAGACAATCCCAAAGTTGAATTTTTATTTCTGATGCTCTTCTTGCAGTATCCTTCTTAGAGCTTTCTTCCATACTCTGAAAATTAGTTATCACTCCTATATAGAGTACTACCAAATATATGTTTATTTTTATAGATACACACTAGGTGTACCATATTTCAAGGTACATATGATAATTTGATACATTCATATAATCAAATCAGGGTAATTGGGATATCCATCACCTAGAATATTTATCTTTTCTTTACACTAGGAACATCTGAATTATTCTCTTCTCGCTATTTTGAAATATATTGATTATTGTTAATTGATTATTGTTAACTGTAATCACCCTATTGATCTATTGAACACCAGGTCTTATTTCTTCTACCTAAGTGTGTATTTGTACTTATTGATCAACCTCTCTTCACCTCTCCACTCCCCACTACCTTTCCTGGTCTCCCAAATATTTACTTTTGATCCAGTTTTTCTTCCTAGAATTTTCATCCCTCATCTTCATCTGTGTGTGGGGTGTCTATACTCATATATCTCCAAATATCCTTAAAACCTAAGTTTTTGTAGTCTACTTCTAATCCCTCTCCACCCATCCATTCATTTGGCACCAAGTTCCTCTGATATTGGCAATAGAATTAATTAACAGTGTTTTTGTTATCCTGACTGTGAATCAGAAACTCATCTTTCACTCAGGTCTCCTTTGCTCTGCAAACCCCAAAATATCAAAAATCCCAATGATTCTTTAAAAATATTTCTTCTATCCTCCTGACATTACTATTCTGATGCTACCACTCCAGTTCTGCCCTTCATTTTCTTTCTATTTAAGCCTCATCACTCACCTTCCAACCTTCAATCTTTCTCTAATGCGGTCCTTCCTGCATTCTGCAGCTAGACTAATCTCCTTAAAGCATTGTTTCCTCCATGTCATCCCTCTGTGACAAAATGTTCAAAGCTCCTACTATCTATAGGATAAATACCCAAACTCCTAAATCAGGCATTCAATCTGGCATTCAGATTTGACCACATTTAACCTTTCCTAACGCACATCTTACAACACTCAACCAAGCTGGAGAAATGTCTTGATTCTAAATATACTTTGCTCTTTCCTTCCTCTGCTTTGCCACACGAGAGACCGATGAAAATGTCTTTTTTTTTCTGTTTTGCTCCCAGATCTTCCATCCATAAACCCTCACTTATTCACTAATCAAACATATATTGAGCATCACCAGGCTCTATGTAAACAGAGGTGAACAAGCCATGACCCCTGACTTGTTAATTTGTTTGGTGAGCTAAAAAGACACAAAAACAACTAATATGATAATCTTATAATGGAGGCGTAAGCAAAAGAGACAATGCCCACATGAAATCAGCTACTTGGTCCAATTTAATTCTATTTCTAAGATTTGAGAGGAGTGTCTCAACTTTTTGAGTGGGAAAGCCCACTTTGCCCACCAGGAAGCCATGGCGAGGAAGGGGAATATGAGTCAGGAAGGCAGTGAATGACGTCAATCTGCCCCCGCTAAGGAAAACCAAACGAATTTAAGTGGATGCAGATTCCAGACCTTCATGTTTCAAACATTTTTAGAGCTCCTCTCCTATCTGCTCATGAAACAGCAAGTGGGTTATAGGGTAATGTGGCTACACCATGACTGTGCATGCCCCATTGGAACCCTGCTTCAACGCATCTTTAACATATTTGCAACCACAGTAAGGAGATGGGGTTAGGTTAAAAGATTCGTTATTGATCCAACGGGCATTTTTCAGTACCCCTTTGACCAAGATAGTCATTTCAAAAACAACAACAACAAATGGTTGCAGGTATTTTAATGGATGCTATAAACCTAAACGGTGTCTGTAATTTAGTTGATGGTGGTGATCTATCACTTGTTTCATTTGCATCCCTGTGGAAACAATCTAATAAGCTAAAGTGTTTATTTTCTCAATTTGTCATGCAAGAGTTTATCCGCTCCCTACTTGTGCTTGTGGGAAGTCACAGTTCTCATTATTTTTTAAGCAGAGTCAGTAACCCTTTTGTATTATGCAGAACCAACCAATCAATCAAGAGGGAGTAAGTGCATTCGGTTTGGGATAAGTAACAAGGGAGAAAATTGGAGACTGAGAAAAGATAAGAGGTGAAGGCAGTCAGTCGATGCAGAGCAGGAATAGATGTTTTTGCAATGCCCTTTTGGAAGGAATAGAGGAAGCTGTTGCAGAGTGGAGGGGTCTTGGAAAAGCAAGCATTGCTTAGATCTGGCAGCTGGACTGCATAAGTGAGAGAGTAATATAGTAGGATTGGAGCCCTTACTAGACATCCGAAGTAGAAGGAAGAACACAAGACCATTTGTAGATGGTGGGAGAGGTGGGAGGTGAGGAGCGTAGCTAACAAATAATTCTATAAATAGATAGGGAGTCATGCGTCAGTATGCTCTGAGCAGAGAAATAAGGTTTCTGTGTGCTCCCATCTGAACCAGCCAAGAAATTCCATCTCTGGAGCTGTTTTGGGGAGCTCCCACTAACCATACAGTTACACAAAGAACTGCAAATATTTAGTCTTTGTGCCCCAAGGAATCCATAGCTCAATTAGACAAACCATTCATGTTTATGTGAGAAAAAAAAAATTCTCTCCATGCAGCACAGTGTTCCTCCTAGGTTCAAGTTCATTTTGTGAAAGTTTCAATATACATTAATTTCTTTATGCGTAATTTTAGGCAACGAGTTTATCTCCATTTTAGATGGATTGGATATAATAATAACATTCACAAATTCAATACCATCAGGTTACCACTGGGCCATCATGTAACATTTATCACTTCCTCTGTCTTTGGTGGTAGAATCCCTAATTCCTAAAGGTATATATTCATTTTTTGCTCTCCTCCCCTCCTTAACTTTGACAGAAATTCTTTATTTTCATTGGTCTTTAAAAAATAAACAGAAAAAGAAATGTTGAATGTGACAGCTCATAGTGCAAGTTCCATAATCAGAGACTGACTGTGTGGGAATCTTGCCTCAGCTCTCTACCTCGAGACCTGGGGTAAGTTGATACACCTCATTTCCATACGCATTTTTCTTGCCAGCAAACTAGAAATTGATAGTTGAACTAAACTTGTAGGCATAGTATGCAGATTCAATTAGTTCATACGTGTGAAATGCTTAGAACAGTACCTGGCATATAATGTTCAGGAGATAATAGCTGTGGGGTGGATGTGGGTAACCAGTATTCAGGATCCATTCCAGCCCTTTTCTTTTTTTGAGACAGAGTCTCACTCTCTTGCCTGGGCCAAAGTGCCATGACATCAGCCTAGCTCACAGCAACCTCAAATTCTTGGGCTCAAGCGATCCTCCTGCCTCAGCCTCCCAAGTAGCTGGGACTACAGGCATGCACCACCACGCCTGGCTAATTTTTTCTATATATGTTTAGTTGTCCAGCTAATTTCTTTCTAATTTTAGTAGAGACAGGGTCTCACTCTTGCTCAGGCTAGTCTCGAACTCCTGAGCTCAAACGATCCACCTGCCTCGGCCTCCCAGAGTGCTAGGATGACAGGCGTGAGCCACCGCACCCGGCCCCATTCTAGCCCATTTCTAATGTGACTTTCTGTGCTGCAGAGCCTGAAAACCTAAAAGTCACATCTCCCAGATCCCTCTGAGGCAGAGTTTTGGATGTGCATTTGAATTAAGCTGTTGCTGTCCTGTCCTAGTCACAAAAACACTGAGTTTTTTTTCTGCAAAAGCAAAGCCCAACCGTGGCTGGCAAAGAGGAGGACACTACAGAAGCAGCCGTATCTTCCAATCCAAGACTTCTGACTCTTGGATAAAATCTCTGATATTGTGCTCTTGAACTCAGTTGTTTCTGGTTGTAGCCTCCTCACTCTCCATCTTCTTCGCTGTGGCAATACAGAAACTAGCAGTGTATTTTAGTGATGTTGCGTTGTTACAAATCTTCAATTCGCAAAACACAGAATATCTGCATAGTAAAATAAAGCAAAGCACAATAAAATGAGGTCTGCCTGTAATTAATTTAAGAAAAATTAGCTTTATGAAAGTGATCCACGTTTATTATTTTTAAAATGTAAACACTTCCCAACACTCAAAGGAGATAGGCAAGATCTATCCCAAATCCTGTTGCCCGAAAAATATTCATCACCAAGCCTTGGTTAGCATCATTTCACTTCTCTATATTCTGTTGTGCACAAGGATTGCAAGATTTTTATTTTATTTTTCTTCTTTTGACAAATTAGGTTCACTTAATTTAATGAAAGAAGAAACTGAAGTGAAGCTGAAAGAATTAGTGAACTCGAAGGTAACATTTCTTTATCACAACAAATAAGTTTCTAAAAATTTCCTCTAAAGTTAAGAAAAATATTAAAAGGTTGGAGTCATGTATTTTTAAGCTGCATGTGTAATTTTATACAGTATCTACAGCCTTTTGGTTATGGAAGACTGGGAGGTTTATGCACTTAGTTTTTCCCACCACCTTTTTATATATTTTTCCACCTGACTCATATTACTAACATTTTTAACTTTATAATGTCAAGATTAATAACATTCACATTTTATTCTGCAATCAAAATTCCTGACATGTTTTATTTGTGGCCTTATAGATAAAGGGATTATGTTCATTACCAGTTATTTTACCTCAGCTTCTTTATTCTTGATTTCTATATTTCTATAAATCTCTCAGTTGATTGAATTCCTTTGACATTCTCTTTTTTAAGAAGCACCTGTGGGCAATGTGTCCCTTGAGTTTCTGTACACTCGAGAATACGTGTCTTTGTCTTTTATAGGTGAAGGGTAACTTGGTCAGGGATAAATTTCAAAATCACATTTTATTTCTCTCAAAACACTATAGACATTCTTCCTGTTTTCTAGCATGAAAATATTACTGCGAAGAACTCCAGAAAAAAAAAATCTGATTTTTTGTACCTTGATTGCTACTTGCTTTCCTGTATAAAATTTTCATGAAACTCTGTCTTTATTCCTAAAATTCAAAATTGTACCAGGATCCATTTTGTTGTACATCATTCTGTGTCAGTTTTTCTCTTACAGTTTGCTCTTTCAATCTGCAAATCTGATCTTCATTTCCAGAACGTATTTTCCAATTCATTTTTTAACTACTTATGTAACATCATTTGTTTTATTTTCTTTGTCAATTTCTATTTCATCCTTAAATCTGTTTCATTTCATATGCCTATGTGGCATTTTATTTTTCCCATATCAAATATGATTTTTATATCACTGAATTTTTTCATTTTGTGTGATTTCTCTAGATTATGCATTCAGTTGTGTTTTTCTTTTATTTTCCTAACATGTTTTTAGCTCTCCTAACATGTTTTATGATCTCACTTATCTCCACATTTTCCTCCTCTGATGCCTTAAATTTCTATGGAACTCTTGTTCTCTTCTTCTAGAAAGGACATTGCATTAGTTGCCTGTTCTTCCATAACAATATTATCACTAACTTAGTGGCTCAAGACAGCACATTTTTGTTGTCTCACAATTTCTGTAGGCCAGGAATCTGAGAATCGCTTAGCTGGGTCCTCTGCTTCGAGAGTCTCACAAGGTTGCAGTCCAAGTGTTAATTGGGGTTGTGGGCTTAACTGAAGAGGGTCTGCTTCCAAACTCAACACGGTTTGTTAGCAGAATTCAGTTCCTTCCAGGCTGCTAGACTGAGGGCGTCAATTTCTTTCTGGCTATTGGCCAGAGACCACACTCAGCTCCTTGCCCTGTGGTCCTACTATGTGACATCTTGCTTGCTTCTTTAAACCCCAAAAAGTCTCCCAATGAGATAGCTTACAATCTTATCTAATATAATCATGTGCACAAAATCATATACATACTGTCCTTATTTGGGGTATTCTATTGGTTGGAAACAAACCACAGTTCTTACCCACACTCAAGGAGAGAGGTGCACACAAGGATCTGAACACCAAGAGGTAGGGGGTCACAGGGCCCATTTTTTAGCCTGTACCCCCTAGTCATGTTGGATATAATTTCTTCAAGGCTATTTCCTTCAAGTTAAATAGTTGCGTAGGGCTACTATAAAAAGTATCGCAAACCGGGTGGCTTCAAACAACAGAAACTTATGGACTCACAATATACTGGAGGACAGAATTTTGGAATGAAGGTGTCAACAGGACCATGCTCCCTCTGAAGGCTCTAGAAAAGAAATCTTCCTTGCCTTTTCCTAAGCTTGCAGCGGCTCTCAGAAACTCTTGGTGTTCTTTGGTTTGTAGACGCATCACTCCAATTTCTGTCTCCACTGCCGCATGGCTGTTTTTCCTAAGTGTATCTCCCTGTATCCTCGCCTTTTCTTATAAGGATACCAGTCATTGGATTTAGGGCCCACCTTAATGCAGGATGATCTCGCCTTACTAATTGCATTTTCAAAGACTCAGTCATATTCTGAGGTTCTGTGTAGACATGAATTTGGAGGGCACATTACTCAACTCACTACAGAGATTATGAAGAAATATGTGTTTTAACTCTTGGTCTATTTGTTATTACCTAAGATAAATTACCTAATTGACCTTCCACTGTAGGTCCTTCTTTTGCAGTTTATGTTCTTTTTCTCCTTTTAAAATTTTTATTCTTATATTCTACCCTAATTGTTCTTCTTCTTCTTCTTTTTTTTTTTTTTTTTTTTTTGTGGCAGAAATTACAGGTTCATTCACCCTTCTCCCTTGCCTGTAATCAGAAGCTGTAAAAGATAACTCGTTCTTTTCACTGCCTTCCTTAGAGCTCATGGCTGCATGAGACACGGCGCTGCACTGTTCATGAGTTGTTGACAAAAATCTACTTAAGAGTGGGGAGTGATATGAAACAGCTGGCTCCTCTCTTCCTTTTCTGACTCTGCCATTCTTCTAGCAATCTCTAACTGAGAGGACAGGCTCACTGCTGTTAGGCTAGCATACCAGCCTGGTTTCTGTTTTAGTCCCACCTCCTTTCAAACTAGACATTCCACGTCTGAGGCTCCTCCAGGCTCAGATCTTGCTATTCTAATCACAGTCTTTTGGGATTGTGCTTCTTCCTTTCTTCCCCAGAAAATCTGTGCTCTACCCAAGATTAAAGAAGATACGCTTTGGTTCTTGGCAATCAGCCTCTTCCCCCGTTTTGCTTCATTGCTTGGTAAATCTGCTTCCTATTTTGTAATTTAAGGTTGTATCATTTCCTTATTTCATTGAAGATGAAGTTGTTTGTTAGGTTGGTTTTTTTCTCCTCCATTATTATTATTATTATTTTTCATTATTAGTAGGTTTCAAGGAGGGGGATGCCATTTTGAAAATATTTTTACTTTGCCATCTCTCACTAAAAGCCTCTACTAAACGATCTTTAATAATTTCCATGTGATTATTTAACCTCTACCATCCACACTATTTAGAGTCAAGAGTAAAATAGTATATTTGATTCTATTTGATATAATGAATTTAATACAGTTTTTTCTTTTCTAACTTTTCAGTCTTTGCTAATATAATATGGAATTTAGATCCAAAGTATTATTCTTTTTTTTTTTACATTTTGGTTTTATTTTTTTTTAATTTTTTATTTATCTTATTTCTTATTTTTCTTTCTTTTTTTTCTGTACATATCCTTGGTACAAAGTATTATTATATTAATATTTTACATCTCTTTTCTTATTAGATTTATTTATAATGGTTACATAAGCAGATTTACAACCATTTCTCAGATCTCTTTCTTTTACCAAGTTTCAGGGTTTGCAATCAGTCGTTTAAAATCTTCAGTTTTTTTTTTTTTTGAGACAGAGTCTCACTTTGTTGTCCAGGCTAGAGTGAGTGCCGTGGCATCAGCCTAGCTCACAGCAACCTCAATCTCCTGGGCTTGAGTGATCCTTCTGCCTCAGCCTCCCGAGTAGCTGTGACTACAGGCATGCGCCACCATGCCCGGCTAATTTTTTTTATATATATATCAGTTGGCCAATTAATTTCTTTCTATTTATAGTAGAGACGGGGTCTCGCTCTTGCTCAGGCTGGTTTTGAACTCCTGACCTTGAGCAATCCGCCCGCCTCGGCCTCCCAAGAGCTAGGATTACAGGCGTGAGCCACAGCGCCCGGCCAAATCTTCAGTTTTTATTAGCTCTTAACTTTGTTTCATATTTCACTTTTTGGAGAAATATTTAATGTATTTGTTTTTTAAATTATATAAAGGGCGACTGATAACCCTTGCATATCTGAGAATATCTTTCTCTTGACCTTTCACACATTATGGATTACGTGGATGGATACACCATTCTTTGGGTAAAACTTTCCCAGCCCCAGGTCAGTCAGTCTGGGCTAGGACTTGTCATGCTAACAAATAATCCCCAAATTTCAGTCATTACAACTTCAAAGGTTTATTGTAGGTCATGCAACTGTTTCCTTTCAGGTTGGCTGCTGCTCTGTTCCATGTCACCTTCAGGCCAGCACCCGAGCTGATGGAGCATCCAGAATATTGCTGGTTGTTCCAACATAAGGTAAAAAAAAAAGCACAGCAGACTATATTCTGCCTCTTCAGTTTCTGCTGGGAAGTAACACAGTCATTTACACTTGCATTTTATTGGCCAGAGCCAGTAGTATAGTCAAGCCTGTTGTCAATAAGTCAGGGAAGTAAAATTGTCCCTTAGGAGAAGGCAACAAATATTTGTAAACAATAATACAATCTAGTTCAGCATCCGTCCATATGTTGCAGACACTACTCTATTTATGCTGGTATTTCCATTCATAAAGAAGGCGACTAAATGAAGACTACTACAACTGAAATAGAGGAAACAGGAGTAGGGATAGGTGTAGGGGAAGAGAATAACTGCGGTTTTAGAGAATCGAGTACAAAGTATCTAGTAGGTCATTGGGTATGAGGCTGAAAGTGCAGGGAAAGGTCTGGGTTGGAGATATTAACTTAGGTAATAAGTGTGTAGAACTGAATTCATTAGAATTACTGAACGAAGAGGTAGAATGAAGGTGTCACCTTAGAGAGCAGTAACTGTGAGGGTAAGGCAGAGGGAAGAGAGGTGGTAAAGGAAGCAGGAAGACTGGGCAGAGAATTTGAGAGGAACCAGGAAAAAGCAGTATCGTATAAACTGGGATTAGAGAGTATCAGGAAAAAGAAGAATCAGCATTGCCAAAATAAGAATAGAGAACCTTGAGGATGAAACAGTAAGTATTATTTTATGTTGCATTAGTAGATCATTGATGACTTTGGTAAGAGCAGAGTTGTAAATTTGGAAGCCAGGAACAGGTAATTAAAGAAGGAATATTAGGGGGTTTGAGTGGAGAAATGGAGTATAAATGGGCCACTCTTGAAAAGTTCAGAGGAAAAAAAAAAAATAGAAACTGGGAGACTTTTCCCACCCGTCTAAACAATGAAGAGACTTCGAAATATTCTGAGGACCAAGGACCAAGTACCGAGTGTGTGCTTGTGTGTATGTATATATAGATATTCATTCTTATTTTATAAACAGGTGTATATATTATACAAGATAAAATTGCTTCAAGTTGAAAACCAAAATTAATCACCATAGATATGTTTAAGTACTGTGAAATCTATGCATTTGTAGCTAGTCTTTAATGTCATGGTACGTGTATTACTGTTGGTTTCTATGAACATAGATAGAGATTGATTTATTATAGAGAATTGGCTTATGTGGTTCTGGAGGCTTAGAAATCCCACAATTTGAAATTGGCAAGGTGGAGCCCCAGAATAGTTGATGGTATTGTTCTATTATGAGTCCAGATATCAGAGCAAGAAAAGACTGATGTCCCAAGTTGAAGACAGTCAGGCAGAAAGAGCAAATTCTCCCTTACGCCACCCTTTTCTTCTATTCAGGCCTTCTACAGGTTGGATGAGACCCGCCCACACTGCAGAGGGCAACCTGCTTTACTCAGTTTACTGATTCAAATGTCAATTTCATCCAGAAACACCCTCACAGACATAGCCAGGATAATATTTGACCAAATATCTGGGTACCCCTGTGGCCCACTCAAGTTGACACAAAAAATTAACCATCACTATGACGATTAACCCTAATTTAGTTATTTTTTAGTATTTAATTCATTTAGGTAATTACAAGAGTAGAAAACATATTTGTTTTCTTTGACATTGCCTACTGGGCCTGGCTATCCTAATCAGAATGCTTGCCAATGTAGGGGCAGCACTCCATCCTCAAGACAATATCATATCTAGGGAAGAGATGTGAATGAATAAACATTGACCTAGTTTTTTCTAGATCTTCTCTATCACTGAAATGCTTTGTGCTGCCTCTTTTGTTCTTCCTTACCTTTTGTCATGTATTGCCACCGTTCTGTGCCTTTAAAAATCCGGTTTCTTTTTTACTGTACTTTTGCAACTTCCAGGCAGTGGTATGAAGGGACACATTAACAAACAAAACAACCAAAATCACAACCTAAATTTTCTTTATTTAAAATTTTTTCTCAATAGCTTTGGTTTCTAGATAGAACTAGTCACCAATAAATAAGAGTTCCATTTTCTTGCCTTGTCAAGAAATTAAATCATTCTGAATTCAAACTGAGGGTTATATAAAATCGATTACAGATAGAACAGTCACTAATAAATAGAGTTACATTTTCTTGCCTTGTCAAGAAGTTAAACCATTCTAAATTCAAATCGAGGTTATATAAAATCAATTACATAGTGCATACAGTATCAAACACTCATTAAAATATATATATCCAAATTTAATTTGGTGTTCCAATAAGAGAAAGAAGTATGTGTTTAGAATCATCAATAATCAAGCATATTTTATTTATTCCTTAAATTAATACATTTCATTAAGTTGTGGTAGCTATTAATTGCTTGATTCAAAGCTTTTCTTCTATAATCTAGAAGATTTTTGTAATGTGAAATGGTGGTATCCAAATTGGAACAATAAAGAGCTGAAACACATAGTCATTGTCTTCACTGAATTTGCACATATATGTCACATAACATATAAAACTATAAAATTTCATCTGTGAATATAAACAAAAAGTCTTTAATAAAATTTTTACCAAATTCAAAATTCCCAGTTAATAACTTTATTTCCTCATTTACATTTTAGCCATAAAATTAAATGGTGGTTTTAACCAATTATGGCTACATTACTGATGTGGTCAGATTTAACTGTTAAATCTGTTTTCAAATAATGCTAACAGCAACAACTACATGCTAAATTTTAAGCATCAACCCGACTGGATTAAAGAATACCTAGAGAATTGGTAGAGCATTATATTTGGGTGTGTCTCTAAGGGTCTTTTCAGAGGAGATTGGAGCATGAGACTGGGAGAACTAAGTGGGGAAGATCTACCCTCAATGTGAGTGGGCACCATCCAATCAGCTGGGGGGGTCCAAATAGAACAAAAACAGAGGGAAGGTGAATTGGTCTGTCTCTCGTGAAGCTGGAAGTCACTCTTCTCCTGCCATTGGACATCAGGGCTCCAGGCTCTTCAGCCTTTGGACCAGGTCTTATACCATCAGTCTACTGGGTTCTCAGGCCTTCGTACTTGGAACGAGCCAAGCCACCAGCATCCCAGGGTCTCTAATTCACAGACGGCCTCTCCGTAATTGCATGAGACAACTCCCCTAAATAAATCCCCTCTCATCTATCTATGTATCTATCTATGCATATACTATTGGTTCTGTCTCTCTAGAGAACCCTAAGTAATACACTACTATAGAATACAGTCCTAATTTTCCATCAGAGGAGTAATTAATTTTATAACACCCAGTGCAGTAATTTTTTAAGCAGGATTAAAAGACACGTGGAATAAATTAGTAGTCATTTCTTGCTACTTAAAGTTGTTGAAGACCAACAAGTTTTTTTTTTTTTCCTTCTGGTCAGCAGATGGCAGTGTTTTTCTTTACTGAGCTAATTGAGCTTTCTGTTTCCTGAGTCCTGCAAGACTCTCAAAATTTCAACTTAATCCATGAAATAACACAGGTTCTTTGAGTTCACTTTATACTTTTTGACTTACAAATAAATATTATAGAAGTTGTTGTAGGTAAAAAAAGAATCGCGTATATTTTAGTCAACTTGAGCTTTCTTCAACTTTTAAAATTTTCTTTTTACTTGGGTTTTTGTAAACAATTGTTCCCATTTTTATAAACAGGAAAACCTCGTTTATTTTATTTTATTCCTTAGCTTCCTTTCTAAGAAAGGTCAATGCTGAACAGTGATTCTTGGAATAAAGTTTAAGTATTTTTAAACTAATGTGGCACAGTGAAAAGTTTCTTTGGTTCAGCTTCTCGCCTGCAAGATGAACTCTTTCAACTTTGAAGTTTTTGAACTCAAAAACTGAGGCAGGAGACCTGGGTTTCACTCAGACTGCTACAAAGTCCGCACTGAATTATCTACAGTAATCTGTTTGAATATATTTTTGCCAAAATTTTTTAATGAATGTAATAAATCTAGTCTATACAGTTAACCCTTGAACAATGTGGAGGTTAGGGGTGCCAATTCCTGGCACAGTCAAAAATCCATGTATAACTCTTGACTTCCCCCAAATTTAACTACTCATAGCCTACTGTTGACCAGAAGCCTTACTAATAACACTAAGTTGATTAACACACATTTTGTATGTTATATGTCTCATATATACTGTCTTCTTACAATAAAGTAAGCTAGAAAAAAGGAAAATGTTAAGAAAACCATAAGGAAGAGAAAATATATTTATTATTAATTAAATGGGAATGGATCATTGTAAAGGTCTTCATCCTTGTCTTTACATTGAGCAGGCTGAGGAAGAGGAGGAGGAAGAGGAAGGGTTGATCTTGCTGCCTCAGGGGTGGCAGAAGTGGAAGAAAATCTGCTTATAACTGGATTTGCACAGTTCAAACCCACATTGTTCAAGAGTCAGCTACATTTAACTCGTAAAAAGATTGTAAAGATACTGGTTTTAAAAGTCTGAATGCTCCGTAAAAAACACGAAGAAATGGACGATCAACTTTCAGTAGAAATACAATTCGATAACAATAAAGTCTTCAACAAACCCTGTTTCTATTATGATCCTGTTAATTATGAAGAGCAAGAGCAAGAAATTGGTGTTACTCAGTTTCATAATGCAGTCCTATTATTCTTCAAAATTTAAAGAAGCCTGATCTTCATTATTTACTTAATGAAGTAAATGAACACAAACAATACTCCAAGCTATATGCCTCCCAAAAAACGAAACAAACTCTCCAGCACCTCTTTAGAATGTATTTATAAGAAGAACAACAGAAAAAGTCTCTAATTGGAACTTTCTGAAAGCATTTCCCCCCAATTAGAGTGCAATAATGACTCTAGATGGTACTGTCTCAGAGATAGCTCGTCGGTTAATTATAAGGACTTCAGTAAATTGAGGAGTGGAAGAATGATACTAAAATTCAATCAGTGCAGATGAATATGGTTTGTCATTATTCACCTGATATTTTAGTCTATCTAAAGAGGAAAATGAAGAACAGAAATAGTGTCTTTTCTAAAGAACAGAGATTATGAGGATAAAACCAAACATTTACCTACTACTACATTCTTGCCTGGAATAGGCATTCAATTCCCACCATCCCCAGAGACTGTCAATTGCTCGCCCAGTTTCTTTTCCATCTGGTTCTTTCAAGTCAGGAAAAACAATATGGTAATTCTATTGTTGTATCTAATAGGCTGGGGAAATGGAAACATATCTTAAATATAATAGTTATGTAACTTAGTAGTTTAGTAATTGTTAAGTATGTCAATTCCTTTTCATTTTTGTGTTCCAGCATCATTTAGCACTCTATGTTCTGGTAATGAATATCTTAAAATTCTATGATTTCCTTATGCTTACCTCTGGGATAATTCTACCAGCCCAGTTCTTTTTTAGGCTTAAAAGCAAAGTTAAAGGACATAATTGTTTAAATAGCAAATTATCAATACATATCATTTATCCTAACAATTTTCCAAAATTTCTCTTTTCTATTATTTCTTTCCTTCCTCTTACTTTTAGATATTTTTCATGAACATTTAACCTCTGTATTCCTTCATTTAAAGTTATGCTTTGCTTATTCATGGGCATAAAAACTTTCCATCATGTTAAGAGTTATTTTTTTTTCTTTCTCTCACTTTTAGATATTTTTCATGAACCTTGTATCCGTCTTCCTTTATTTGAAATTATGCTTTATTTGTCTTCATAGAATTTTCAATCATGTTAAAAGCAAATATGGCTCTGTTTATTGTCGCAGATATCCTCTTGATTGTTCATCCCCACAATCACCTTATTCATGAGTTGTAAGTTGAAGACCAGGCTCCCGGTGCAGAACTGTTTAGAAATAGCTCTTCATGCTTGTTCCTCTATTCCCAGAGGACCTTGCCGCACATGCCTAGATCTCTTTCCATCTGGCCTCTGCACAAAGGGTTTATCCCACTTTAACACAATTCTTTGTTTTATGGAGGATCTTGAGTTTATCTGAGAGTGAATACACATGCAACAATAATCATGTCGCAGGAGAACCTGATTTGACCATTTTTAAAAATACTTGAATCCTAAGATGACAGTGTAACTACACACTTGGCTGGCAACAAAGACCAAACGAGGTAAGGCTGTAATGATGACTGATCTGAAACAGAGCTGCAAGAAAGTGCATGTGAAGAGTGTGATTTCTCTGGGTTCTACCCATTATTACGGTGCTTATGTTTATGTGGCTTCAGTAGAAAAGAAAAGAAGCTTGCTACATTTGTTTTTATGTGTATCACTGAAAAACCTTTGTGAGATCTTCAGTTTGTAAGACATTAAAACGAAAACTGCTACATTTGCATACTGGTGTGTCCATTTATGTTACTGCACATTATTTTTTAACAGAAAAATATTTATAAAGTATTAATGAATTTTAACATGTAACTCTTCTTTCAGTGTAAATAAAATCATGATGACAACAGTCCTGAAACTTAATATTTCACTGGAAAAAAAAAATCTCCCTTTTAAAATGCATGGCGGTTTCAATGTTTAAAAGAAGTCATGCCATCTTCTCACTCTGTGTATACTGACATTATCTAATGTTTTTTCCTTCTAATATACAGTTTTATAAGTGAATACTTATGAGTCAAGAATTTTGTGGTAATTTTATCTAGTAATAAGAGTGAAGGAACAGAAAATCTAAATAAAGAATAAACACCAAAGGAAAGAATAACAAGAAAAAATGCACACCCTCATATAGGTTCTTTGTTTTTAATAATTTATTTCAAAATATACTATACAATGCTGTCTCAAAGATTTTATTTGGGTTTAAAAGAATTTTAGACCATGGTGCAGGTTGTTAACTTCAAACAGAGGAATTACTGGATTGAAAGATGGCAACTGAAATCCTGAATATAACTGGGTACAGGATTAAAGGAAAACACTAGAATCCTGTGCCCCTAAAGAATACCAGTATTTTTAGTAACATATATTTTTAGGTTTGTTTTGGCATATTCTTTTCAAAGACCTTTGAAACGCTCTGTAATTTTTATAATCACAGAATCTTAGATTTGAACTTTAAAAAAAAATTACTCCTTAGATACTACACTCTAAAACATTTCTCCCCATACTTGGCCTGTTGAAGGGAATAACCTTTGAACACATCTAGTTGTCCTATTCTGAAAGGGCAAGGTGCTTTTTCTTAATAGCCAGTGCGTCTCAGATGCAGAACCTGACCCCCAAAGTGCTCACCTATAGTCACCTGAGCCATTTATTAGCAGTCCCGAACCTTGCAGTAATCCAGCGGCCTCCAACCTTTTTGGCACCAGGGACTGGTTTCATGGAAGACAATTTTTTTTCCATGGATTGGGGGGAGGGGGTGGTGGTGGACGGTTTTAGGAAGATTCAAGCACATTACATTTATTATGCAGTCAAATCTCTCTGCTCAGGATAATCTGCATTTGCAGCTGCTCCCCAGCGCTAGCATCACCGCCTCAGTTGCACCTGAGCTCAGCAGCTGCATCAGATTCTCATCGGGAGCTAAACTAGATCCCTGGCACGTGCGGGTTTAAAGCAGGGTCCTTGCTCCTGTGAGAATCTAATACAGCTGCTGGCCGGGCGCGGTGGCTCAGGCCTGTAATCCTAGCACTCTGGGAGGCCGAGGTCAGGAGTTCAAAACCAGCCTGAGCAAGAGCAGGACCCCCATCTCTACTATAAATAGAAATTAATTGGCCAACTAATGCATATACAGAAAAAAATGAGCCGGGCACGGTGGCACATGCCTGTAGTCCCAGCTACTCGGGAGGCTGAGGCAGGAGGATCGCTTGAGCCCAGGGTTTGAGGTTGCTGTGAGCTAGGCTGACGCCACGGCACTCACTCTAGCCTGGGCAACAAAGCGAGACTCTGTCTCAAAAAAAATAAATAAATAAAATAATGCAGCTGCGGATCTGACAGCAGGAGGAGCTTTAGCGCTGATGGGAGTGATGGGAGCAGCTGTAAACACAGGTGAAGTTCTCTCCCTCAAGGTGCTCACCTCCTGCTGTACAGCCCGGTTCCTAACCAGGCCATGGCTTGGGGACTGCAGTGGTAACCCACAAGCAAATCCTTACAAAAGGGTCCTACTGCAAAGGCAAACTAGCTAGCAAGAAAAATAAAATAAAAGCAAGGCCAACCTGCTTCAACTTATTGGAGGAATTTCTGAAACGTCTGTAGATTGCAGCGTTAGGGAAAAACGAGTTTGTCTTGAGAGCAGTGGCAGTACCACTTCCCCACCCTGCGCCTGTTTAAGGGAGTCCACTCCTGACTGCTGACTCAGTTTGTCCGCTGCCAGAGCTAAAGCGTGACCCCATTTCTTGCTGGGCTGGCTGGAACAAACAACAGAGGGGCAAACTGATAACCACCTGGCAGTTCTAGGTTTACAAAAGCAAGCGTCCGTCGTCACTTATTTGGCCTCACCATTGCTTGTCAGGATTGCAAAAAGCATAAAAATAATGCCCTTTGCAGGAAGGAAAACGAAAATCTTAAACGCTTAGGACTGATTCAAGGTCACTGACGGAGGGCAAACATCTGACACCGGGCTCCTCCACCCCTCGGTCCAATAAATGGACCAGAAAAGCCACACAGGAGACGGTGCCGGAGTTTCCAAGCTGCGTAGTAAATAATAAATAATAATAATAATAATAAAAAACAGTAGCGTGGGCAATTCTTTTTGCACTCTCGAGTAAAAAAAAAAAAATAACGCAGCCGTGCGTTTTTTTCCAGCGGTGTCTGGCAGCATCCAGCAGAAGAAGGGTGTCGGGGTTGAGGAAAGCGGAACCCAGCCTGTGCTCTTCCTCAGGCGGTCTTGAGAAACTGGGACCGAGGCGGCGAGCCCGGCGCAGCCTGGGGGGGGGCGCGGAGAGAGGAGCCGAGGCGGCCGTCGGGAAGCCGGCGGCGAGGAGGGCTGAGAGAGAAAGCCGGGTCTCGAGTCCAGTCAGGAAAACTGAGGGCGCGAGGGAGGCGACGCGCGCGCTGAGGGAGAAGGAAAGCGGGCGCCGCCGCGGGAGGGAGGAGGAAGTCGGGAAAGAGGAAGGAAAGGCGGGCGGGGGAGCCGGGCGGAGGAGGGCCGGCGGGAGAGGAAGATCCCGAGCCAGTCAGTCAGCCTGCCGGCGGAGGGGTGGGGAAGCAGGAGGACGAGGAGAGATTAAAGATGCCACCAACAGCTGGCGGGAGACGTGCAACAGCCTCACTTCGCGAGGGGCATCCCGCTTGGCCGGCCGGCGCCGGCTTGATGGAGAGAGCGGCCCGACGAGCGCGAGCTGGGCGGCGCGCGGACCACGAGCGACGAGGACGCGGCGGAGCAGGGAGCGGCGCTGAGAAGGAGGAGACGA